TGCCTGACCTCAGACTTGCATTTTATTTGCCATAGCCTGTGTTCCGTTTTATCAGCCTCACTGTGACTAGCTTTCCACTGCTTAAAGGAATTCTTTTTACTTTTTACAGCCTCCATTACTCTGTTTGTTAACCATGCAGGCTTTTTCCTATACCTGTTTGTGCCTTTCCTAACCTGCGGAATATATATTTTTTGAGCTTCTAGGATCGTAGTTTTAAATAGATCCCAAGCTTCCCCAATTGTTTTGACCCTTTCTACTTTTCCTTTCAGTTTCCTCCCCACGTGTCCCCTCATATCAGAGAAATTACCCCTTTTAAAGTTAAAAATGGTTGTGTGAGTCTTTTTGGCCAATTCTCTATTTGTACAAATGATGAACTCAACAACATTATGATCACTGTTTCCAAGCGGTGCAATCACTTTTACATCTCTCACCAGGTCTTGAGTGTTACTTAGGACCAAATCAAGGATCGCCTCTCCCCTGGTAGGTTCCGTGACCATCTGCTCCATAGCACAGTCATTTAGAGTGTCTAGAAACTCAATCTCTTTTTCCCGACTAGAACACATATTGACCCAATCAATGTGTGGGTAGTTAAAATCACCTATTATTACACAGTGTTTTTGTCTAGTTGCTATCTTTAAGGCATTCATCATTTTATAATCCTCCTCTATCTTTTGATCTGGTGGGCGATAACAAACTCCCAGTGTTAAGTTTCCTTTTGGCCCCCCTATTTCAACCCATAGAACTTCCAGAAGCGAATCCAATTCACTTAGCCTCTCAATCTTTCTAGACTTTATACCCTCTCTGACATACAGAGCTACCCCACCTCCAACCCTTCCCCCCCTATCCTTCCGATATAATATATAACCGGGAATCACTGTGTCCCACTGATTTTCCTCATCCCACCAAGTTTCAGAAATACCCACAATGTCTATTTTTCCCTCCGACACCAAGCACTCCAACTCCCCGATTTTACCTCGGACACTTCTAGCATTTGTATAGAAACAGCTGTAATTTCCCTTACAAGTTAAGCCTGCATCCTTCCTCTTGCTATCTCGAGTCGTTGTCCGGCAGTCCATGTCACCAGCCATGGCCTCTGTGGACAATTTCAATCCACCTCCCTGTAGAAAAGCAACCGGTACCCCCTCACCTCTCTCAGATGAGCCAACCCGAACCAGAGACTTTTCATCTCCTGTCGGCTTTCCCCCAATATTCAGTTTAAAAGCTGCTCTGCCACCTTTTTGATTTTAAGTGCCAGCAGCCTGGTTCCTTCTCGGGACAAGTGGAGACCGTCTCGCCTGTACAGCTCCCTCTTGTTCCAAAAAGTATCCCAGTGCCTAACAAACCTGAACCCTTCCCCCCTACACCATCGTCTCATCCACGCATTGAGACTCCTGATCTCTGCCTGTCTCTCCGGCCCTGCGCGTGGAACAGGTAACACTTCTGAGAAGGCTACCTTGGAGGTCCTGGACCTAAGTTTCCTGCCCAGCAGCCTAAATTTCTCCTCCAGGACCTCACGACTGCATTTCCCCACATCGTTGGTGCCGACATGCACCACGACCACTGGCTCCTCCCCAGCACTATCTACCAGCCTATCTAAAACACGCGTAATGTCCGCTACCTTCGCACCAGGCAGGCAAGTCACCATACGGTCAGTACGCGGGTTCGCCACCCAGCTGTCTACCTGCCTAAGGATCGAATCACCCACTACCAAGAGCCCCCCTCCCACCCTGCTCAGGGATGGTTCCTTGGTGCAAAAGGAGAGCCGCTCACCAGCTGGGGAAGAGGTCCCTTCTGAGGGCACATTCCCCTTATCCTCAGCATGGTGCCCTGTTTCCCCTAGACCCTCATGCTCCCTGACAGCATTTCCTGGGTCACAAGCTGGGAAGGTCTGGGCTGTATATTTACTGTCCAAAATCTGCTACACTTTAGTCTTACAGCTTGCAATGAAAAATAAAAAAATAATGCTGGAATAAGATGCTGTTAAAGGGTTTACATTGACACCTGTAGTTTATACAATAATATTTAGTAAAATGATGAACAGCAAAATGACAGTACACTCAGAGGAATAAAATAGTAAGTTATTTGGCCTTTCATTTTATCTAGCAATTTAGTAATCTAGCATGAGAAATTGGTTTTGTTGAGAACAGTATGTCAAAGGACCTGAAGTACTGAAATCATAACCTCCCACATTAGTCTTTTCCTCCAGTACTGATACTATTCATTTACTCATTTATTACTAAGAATTCAGACAATAAAGTGTTCCATGTTTTCCCTGTTGTTCTCATTTTTTAAAAATGCTGATTTATCATAACTTTTTGTTCTACGGCAATTGCAAACTGAAGTTTTTCAGTTGTGCCTTGAATGGTGTTACTACCTTTCCTGGCTTTGCAGCATAGTCTTTTATATAACCAGTGACAGTGTAGAAACCTGCCTCTCTGCCTTGTTTGCCTGCCCACTTCCATCCATCCCATTTTTATTTTGCTCTTCTCCCAATCATGCTGACATGCGTGATTCTCCCTTCCTATTTTTTATTCTCACAACTCTGTAAAATGCATCTAGCTGAGAGAGATTGACTGGCACAAGGTCAGAAACTGAACTTCATAGCTGTGTGGGGATTTGAATCAGGGTCTCCCCCTGTCCAACACTGTAACCACAGCAACACACTCTGATCCCCAATGTTATATTCAGTATTCACCCAACCCTAGTCTCCTCTCAGGCAAATGGCATGATGGTGGAAAGCCTTGACATTATCTCCTGCTTTTAAGAAATTAAATTATTATGGTGTGCATCATTGCTGGTACATGTGCTTTTGAAATATCCCTCTTACAAAGAACAGCAGCAGCAGAACATTATGCTGTGAAGCAGAAACATGAGTCTTTGTGGCAGACCAATCCTGCCTAGGCCCTGCAAAGCACTGAAGCTTCGATGTATGTTAGCTTCCGCCAGGGGTCATTTCATAGAATAAGAGGTGCAGGAGCTCATTTGCATATGCCACACCCCCTGACATAGGGCAGGCATATTTAGAATGGCTTTCGCTCCCTTCCCCGTTTGGGGAAGGGAAAGAAAGGCATTTAAATCCCCTTTTGCAGAGAAACTCAGGGGAGGGGGGGGCATGTCTGCCACGGCGGGCTGGCTGAAGGAGGGCAGGGCAGGGAGGCAGTCATGCCTGGGTTTCCTGCCCAATGTTCTCCAGGTGCCCCGTGGCTGCGGAGCACCCAGAGAACATTGGGCAGGAAGGAACCCAGGCATTTAAAAAAAAAAACCTTCCCCCAAGTCTATCCGCAGAAGTGGAGAGACTTGGGGAAAAGGGGGGGCATGTCTGCCCGCCTCCCCTCCCCTTCTCCAGCTAGCCCGCAGATGCGGGGCACCTTGAGAACATCAGACAGGGAAGGAACCCAGTCATTTAAATCCCCCCCCCCTTTCCCAAAGTCTCTCCACAGAGCGGAGAGGCTCAGGGAAAAGGCGGTGGGGGACTCTGCAGAGCTTCCCTGGCCCGTCCGTCTGCACAGTCGGGCCAGGAATGATGGGGGGGCACCCTGGGCTCCTTTCTGCCAGAGTGCCACTCCGCCACGCTCCGGCAGAAAACGACCCCTGGTTTCCGCAGACATAAATTCAGATTAGAGAAACCCACATGTAATCTGCTCTGCTGTTGCCACCATGCCCTCTGGTGCTCAAGCTTCCGCTTTCCTGAAATCATAATGGGGCAGGCAGTCTGATGAGACCAGTGTGAGAAGTCTGTGCTACTCAGCATTGTATATAATTATGCTGATGCTCCTAGACAGTGGTTTGGAACTGAATTACAAGTGAAGGGGAGCTCTGCATGCATCACCTTAATGCAGCCCCCCAAGCCCCTAAACTTCTGTTCTTCTGGATGAGGGGACCCTCTCAAACAACCTGGAGGCCAACGTGGGCTCTGCTTTGAGAGGAGGGAATTAGCAAAAATAGTCCCCTTCCTGTACCAGTGGAAATGCCATTCTGTTAGTATAAGTGCTGGTATGCCAGGAGAACACCACATTTGGATCTAATTTACATTTTCCCTGGAAGTCTCCCTCTTCCCACCCAGTGCAGACTGGACTCCTTTCCCCATCAGTCTGATATTCAAGGCTACATGCATCCAACAGAAATAAAAGATAATCTTGTCTGCATGTGAATAGATGGGAAGAACCTGAAAGCTCATGCATGGGGATTAGATAATGCAGAAGTACTACAGAACAGGGCAATGCTGAAAGTAAAGGTAAAGGTATCCCTTGCTCAAAAGCCGGTCAAATCCAACTCTAGGGGGCGTTCTCATCTCCGTTTCTAAGCCGAAGAGCCAGCACTGTCCAAACACTCCTCTGTAGTCATGTGGCCAGCATGACTAAATGCTGAGGCACATGGAACACAGTTACCTTCCCAATGAAGCGGTACCTATTTATCTACTTGCAATTTCTTGCTTTCGAAGTGCTAGGTTGGCAGTAGCTGGGGCCAGAGATGGGAGGTCACTCTGTCATGCAGCACTAGGGTCTCGAACTCCTGAGCTACCAACCTTCTGGTCTGCAGTTCAGCGTCTTAACCTCTGAGATTGTTGTGTGAATCAGAAAAAACAATGTTATTTTCCTCAATGTCTGGAAGCACTCTAAGATAAACTCATGTAGCAAGATTTAAGCCATTTAATATCTGATCCCATGATCTGTGTCTACTTCAGAAATCTATATACATAAACAAAATGAGATGCAGAATCATTGGGACTATGAAGAGAAGTTATGACTAGGCTCCTTTTAAATGTATTTCTTTATAGGCTCATAAGTGTGGGACCTGTTTGTACCTGGAATATTTTGCATCTGTTGTTAGTTCTTGAGGGTAGGGAATGGGATGCCCTAATCACAGGGCTGCAGCTGTCTGAAGAATTTGCTGTCTGATCAACATTCAGTAATTGTTAGCTTTCATGATGGTCAGTCATCCTCTGAAGATTTTTGTTCCGGTCTAGCAAAATGTTCACTTTTCCCCCCCTTCTTCCTTAGCACTCCAGTTCACGCCTGAATTACCAAAGCAACATTCAGGGATCTTCTCAGTCCCAGAGTACAATGGGCTATTCTACATCATCTCAGCAAAGTTCTCAGTACCATCAATCTCACCAGTCTCACCGGTACTGAAGAGGCCTCATAGAGACTGCGTTGGAAAGAAATGGACTAACAGTCAAAGGACTCCAGCAATATGAAGTTCATAAACAGTGAGAAGAACCAAAAATGCAAACTGTGATGCAGATTTTAAAATTGCAATTATAAAAGAAAAACTTTTATTTACTGATGGTTTTCAGACAAGAGACAATTCTTATCCCTTTTTGCCATAAAGGAGATTCTTGTGAAGTTTCCCCTCAGCTTGCTCTCGCATGCGTTCCATTGTGGTTATTTGAATGAAACCATCTGATCTGAACCCAGCACTTAATCATCTTTATCCTATGGAATTTTTGAAGGATTCCTGCACCTTTCTTGTGTTTTAGTAATTGTCATAAATCTATCTTTCTTTTTTCAAATCCCTTTACCAGAGTTTTAAAGTTTTTGAAATCTTGAATTCCCAGGCTTTTCAAGCTTGTATATAGTTAGTTTTTTACTAGGCAAACCCATTTAACTATACAGGTATGATGCACCTTTTAAAAGCACTATGTTGTTTTCACAGGATATTACTGTTTTGATCATGGATGTCAAGAACAGCAAATTTTACTGTTCCAGAGTATTTTATTATTCTCTTTTTTATTAGTCTAGTTTTAAGATGAGGTCTTTAAAAAAAAAGAAGAAAAGAAAAGAAAAATATACAACCCAAGTCTCTGCAGCAACTATTGCATGTTCTGTGTTTGGACTGAACACCAAAACAGAAGGTTATGAATGTTAGTTTTGTCTTTCAGATGAAATCCCATAGATCATTGACCATTTTCTTCCATGTGGGTTGACTTTAACCTGGCCTGACAGCTAAGTGAAAGCAAATATTGCTGTGGCTCCAATAGAACAAGAGTATGTTATGTTGTCTTCTTTAGTAGTTATCTGTATTTTGGAACTCTGCCCTGGGAGTTCAGTATCAGTGGAAGAAAGGGCAAACAAGGAAACTGCTACTACTTTGGGGTAGGGGGGAATGAAATATGCTTTTTTTAACCCAGGTTAATATACTCTTTACATCTTCTCTTGTAGCCTTCCTTTTGAGTTTTGATGGTCCTGAAACTTGCAGCAAAAAGTGCTGTGGCACCTTAAGAGATTAACAGTTATTATTGTAGCATGAGCTTTGGAGGCAGTAGCCTACTTGCAGGACAATTTGCAGTCAGGAACCTTGACAGCTGGGGGTGGGGGATTATTCATTGTCCTGACCAGATCAAAGATTTAAAGAGAAGTTGTTGAACAATGGCTTCTCATGTAAAATGCATATTATGTTGTCTTGCTACTGCTATAATTAACCCAGACTGTTTATGCCAGATAAACCTGGCTTTACTGAATTGTTTCTTTTTTCCTAAGGTTATGCACATTGTGATGGTACCGAAGGAATGTTGGTGTACCAGACAGGCTCCTAGCAAAGGAAATGTCGGAGCCTATGAACTGGAGGATCATTGCCTAAATGCAGTGATCAGAGGAAATATGTCATTTGAGGCCGTTCTTTTCTCAGAAGTTGAGAAATACAACTTTATTCACAACACTATGTATTCTGCAGTTCAGCACAGAACTCAACATATGATAAATCTAAACTTTTTCCCACCTAAAAAGTAGTTTCTCATCCTTAAAGTGATGAAGATAGGCTTGAAAATTTGTGATGCCTGATGGAACTTCACGTTAGACAGTAGAGCTAAACAACATTTCTAGGTTGGTAGACCTTCCCTGCCCAGCAGCTGCTTTTCCTCACCATGACTAGCAAAAATAGAATACAAATTATGCTAATCTGCATGATTTCAGAATCAGCTTTCCTTAGGGTTACCAGCAACGTGAAGACAAAATGTCTTGCCCCTTTAACAGAGCTTTAATGCATGGAGATGGCAGTTGAAGCTTTTCATGGCATGGAAGTAAATAACATCCCATTAAGCCTCTATTAAAGGAGCAAGATATTTCCCCCCCAGATTGTTGGCAGTGCTAGCTTTCCTCCACATAGAATTCAGATTAGTTTGTTGGAGGGTTCCCCCCGTCCCAGTTCAGAGCGTACATAGCCTTGACTTCATTGCACTAAACTGAGAAGGTATATAAACAGCATCCAGTACTTTAAGAAAAGAGATACAGGAAGGAGCTAATTACTTATGTAAACATTTATGGGCATTTACTCTGTATAGAGTGAACTCACGTCACACACTCTGTTCAGTTCTGAATTGACATTAGGCCCATAGACAAAAATACTGAACGTTTTGCACTAAGACTACAGTAGAAACTATCAATGTAGTAGGTAAGTTTGCTTGGAGAGCAAATTTTCTTTAATCCCTAGAGTAGTAAAGGTATCTTAGTCTAGAATATGTTCCCAGTCCACTTTAAAGAGCATCTCCAGTGTAAGACTGGCCATATTAGTCACAGGCACTGTTCAATTTGCCCTTGACACCAGGTGGCTTCCTGGAGAGAGCCAAAAGATAATTCATCAGAGGATGGACAGAACAGGGGGAGAAAATAAAAAGAATTCAATTTGAGATTTAAAAAAATTACCAGTTGGATTTTTTTATTCAGTTTTAGTTTTTATGATACATTGTATGTCTGAAATAATTCTGTTGGATGGAACTCAAGTTAGTTTTGTACAGACTTGCAGTCAAACAGTTGCAGCTCCATATCACAAGTTTATCATCTGTGATCTTTCTGAACCTGAGGTAAATATAGGATAACAACTTAAACATTATTGACCTTTACTTTGACTGGTTTTTGTTTTCTCATTCTGTTGCTCTGTCCCCCAGTTCACTCTTGCTTGAAATCCATCATCTAGCTAAATATACTGAATTGCGGTTAAGTCACCACTGGGTTTTAAGCGTGCTTAGTAAAGCCTCTCTTTTGGGGGGTTGTCCTCTCCTTTGGTAAGCTCTGTCCAGATGTCAGTCCCCCTGCATGCAGTGTTTTAAAACTGTGTTTAAATGTGCTTTATTTCCATGAGCTTCCAATCCCCTAGAATAATGGCCATGATTATTGTCTGTAGTGACAAGTTATTTGCATATTTGCTGGAAATAAATTGCTTACTATGTCCCATTTCCCTGCAGTGTCTGTGCACACAAAATGGCCTTCCAAATAAGCATTGACAGGGGAATAGTTGAAAGTATAGGTTTACATTTTTGAAATGTTTACTG